AATGAAAAAAGAAAAAAAAGACATGACTTTGAAAGAGCAAGGAGAGGTATTTGGGAGGGTTTGGAGGGAGGGAAAGGAGAGGAGAAATGATATAAATTAAAATCTCAAAAGTACGTTGGGAAATCCCCACTGTGTGAGAAACATGGGGCTACCTCCTACTGAGGAGAATGAAATGATCAGCTATTCACCATCCTTCACCTGTAGAAGCCAGAAAAGGGCATGTGCTCTATGCTCAGCCAATCTAGGACTTTTGTTTAGGACTTGAAATCAGAATCCAGTGTCGCAAAGAAGCAAAAACCAGTTCTGAATTCATCCTTGTCTTAGTTAGATTTTCACTGCTGTGAAGAGACACCATGACCATGGCAATTCTTAAAAGAAAACATTTAATAGGGGGGCTTGCTTACAATTTCAGAGGTTCAGTCCATTATCATCATGATGGGGAGCATGGCAATGTGCAGGAAGACATGGTGCTGGAGCTGAGAGTCCGACATCTTGCAGGCAACAGGAAGTCCTCAAAGCCCAACCCCACAGTGACACACTTCCTTCAACAAGGCCATACCTCCTAATAGTGCCACTCCCTTTGGGGGCCATTTTCTTTCAAACCACCACAGTCCTGAGGGCATAGCACCTAGCAGTCACTGGCAGCAGCAACTACCATGGCATTCACAGCCAGGATCCAAGCTAGCCTCCCACAGTGGCAGCAGGAAAACTCAAGCATTCTGTTCCTGGGGCATGACCTTGCCTGGGACTCTGGCCCCTGGATTTTCCCCCAGTCGCAGGGCATTTTCCAAACCTGGTTCACTGGCATTCCTGGGACCTCTAACTTCCTGCCTCTGCGTTTGTTTTCTCCATAGACTCATCATAATTGGTTTCTGCTGATTGAAAAGAACAAGCCTGTTAACAAAATCCCTTTACCTTGGGAGGTGTGTAACAAACACCTGCTGAATCAGTGGTCTGTCTGTTTCCAACTTGAAATTGCTCAGTACAAAATCCCACGCATTTCTACCATGGCTGTCATGGTCTCATAACAAGAGCTCTCTTTCCTTAATTGGCAGATTTTCTTAGAATGTTGGAAGGGCGAGAAACAAGAGGTCAGCAGCTGAAGTAACTGTCATTTCAAATATAACAGGAATGAACACATTGACTCAAGGATGAAGTCAGCTCCCTCCTAAAAAGGCATCTGGGAGCGATTACTCATGGGGAGCGGTTCTTCTTTAGTGCCTCTGGTATTTAATGATGCTCTCTATATCAACTCACCCAACATTTCTCATATTTTGAAGAGAGGTTATGGAAACCCACAATCTACTGGTGTTAAGATGTGTCTCCACAATAAAGCAAGGACACCTTCTATGCTTTGCAAGTAGGATAAAAGAGCCCGTGTTTCACTTTTTAAAACTTTTTGAGGTAATTCAATTCCCCCACTCTCTGCCCCAGCTTTCAAATGAAAGTGAACTGTTGTCTTTGAAGAGACTTAAAGAAATTATTGAACAGCTGGGGGAAAAAAAGGAGAACGATCCTCCACTGTTTTATTCTACATTTTATTGCCTTTTGAGCTGTGTAAGGGGCCATCTGCTGAGGACCCTGAAAATGAATCAACTTTCTGTCTATACATGGGCCCAGATCCAAAGAGAAGGCCAGCTCCTCCTCGGCTGGGGTGGAAACCCAGCCCAGGAGGGGGTGGGGTCAGTTGGAGCCCTAGTTGACAAAAAACAGAGAAGTCAACAAATGGAGAAATGAAGTAATTTTAAAAGGGTCCGTGTGGTGGTGCTTTGAATAAGAATGACCCTCGTATGCTCATATATTTGAATGCTTGGTTCCTGCTTGGGGGACTATTGGGAAGGATTGGGAGGTGTGGCCTTGGTGGAGGGAATATGTCACTGGGGGTGGGCTTTGAGGTTTCAGAAGCCCATGCTGAGCCAGTCTTGCCAGTCTCGTTCTCTCTCAGCCTGTTGATCAGGATGTAGCTTTCATCTACTGCTCCAGCACCACACATGCTGCCATGCTCCCCGCCATGACACTGACCAAGCTTCTGAAAGTGTAAGCAAGAGACTCATGCAGTCAGTATAGGGTTGGAAATGTAGCGAGTTGGTAGAGTGTTTATCTAGCATGGTTATCCTTGGCTATAGGGAATGAGTTCTACACCACCCTGGGATACATGAGACTTTATTTCAAAGGGTGGGGATCAATAGTTCTCAAGCCAAATCCTATCAGTTCCTCTTAACAGCTCTCCATATCTATACCCCTCCCCTGATTCCCACTTAGTCTTGGCCAGGTCTTTTCCAACTCTCATATGGATATTCTCACCCAGGGATCTTGTTAAAATGTAGGCTCTGGCTGAGCAAGTGCGTGTCAGTGCCTGACAGCAAGCACATTACACAAACTCCTGAGTACTCAATGGGTTTCTGGCATCGGCCTAAACTTTGGATGAGGAGGCTCTAGGCTGCCATGTCTCTTGCTTTAGTATTTCCAGCAGGTTTCTGGCTGGTCCTCTCGCCTCCAGGCTTTATCACGTTTTCAGTTGGTTCTTCCCGGGGAAGACAGAATGGATGAGTTACAAGCCTATCTTGAATCTATAAGATTCCCCTCAGTGTCTTTTCGACTTCATGTTCTTCATGACTCCTGACATCCTTCTGCTGTGGCTTTAACGGCCTCCATGGCCAGGAGCCTATTGCCTACTCCTCTCTCTTCACCTCCTGCTCACCATCCTCCTGCACTGCTGCTTTCGCGGAGCTCAAAGCCTTCGCGGAGCTCAGCCCTGCTGCCTCCACTGGGCCTGTTCTCCTCGGTCCGCCTGGTGAACAAGTCAGGCTTTGGGCATTCTCTAGGCAGTCTTCTTCCCCCACAGCTTCTGCCATCTGCACAGAGGGAGTGCTTCTCCCTCATGCATTCCCACTGTGGCCTGAAACAGCCCTACCATCACCGTTTTGTTTCCACCATCATTCCACAGTGCTCCATGAGCTCTTTGGGTGCATATTTTCCTTCCTCCTGCCTGCCTGCCTTCCTCCCTGCCTGCCTTTCCTTTCTTCCTCCTGCCTGCCTGCCTTCCTCCTTCCTGCCTGCCTGCCTTTCTTCCTCCTTCCTTCCTTCCTTCCTTCTTTCCTTCCTGCCTGCCTTTCTTCCTCCTTCCTTCCTTCCTGCCTGCCTGCCTTCCTCTAACCTTCCTCCATCAAATTACTCTTGCCCTCTTACTCTTTCTTTTCTTTCTTCCTCTCTTTCTATAATTCCTCCCTTCCCCTTTATTATTTTCCCATCCTTTCTCTCTTCTCCTCTTATCTTCCTCCCCCTTTCCTTCCATTCTGTCATCCCAAACTGTTTAAGATGTATTCATTCTCTCGTCTACAACACTATTTCATCTCCCTAAAATATCCTAATATATTTTGTTTCCTTTCCTCTTTCCCTTTCTCCTTCCCTTTTCTTTCTTCCTTTCATCTTTTCTATCTTTCTTGCTTTCTTTTCCTCTTCTTCCCTTTTGGTTTGTCAAGTGAGAGAGTCATTTTACTTTGAATTCTGCATATCTCTGTGTGGTCATGCACATATGAGTGCTGGTGCCAGATTCCCTCTGGAGGTGGTTGTGAGTCACTTGCTGTGGATACTGGGAACCAAACAGTGGTCTTCTGCAAAGGCAGTGTGTTTTCTTAAGCCCTAAGACTATCCTTTGGCCTCTTTTCTTTTTTTTAGACAATTTCATTATAGAATTACAGTAGGGCCATCAAAGCAGGCTTCCTTTTATAACCTCCTAAGCCTGGAAGCTCCTACTCATTTTTAAGAATTCAATTTAGCTGTTACTTGCTCCAAGAAGTTTTCATTAATAATTCTTACCTCCATTTCACCCCCCCAACCCCAACACAGATTAAGGTTACCTAGCACACCCTGTACAAACTCATCATAGTACTCTGACATTATATTGTGACTACTCAGCTAGACTGTTCACACATCCATCCACTCATTCACTCAAGAAGTATTTATTGAGCACTTTCTGTTCGGAGCAGCAGAGATACAGCAGTTCATCAAAGAGACAAAAATCCCATCTTGATCTTGAAGTCTAATGGAGGAGACATATAAAAAAGGTGCTAAATGGTGCCAAAGTCTGCAGGTAAAAACAATGTAGAGCAAGGCTGTACAGGGGTTGGAGAGGCTGTGTTGTTCAATGGAGTGAGGATACATTGGGTAACATGATACTTTTGGGAAAGATCTGAGTGAATCCAGGGAACAAGTCACGCAGGTCCCTACAAGTGTTCCACACAGAGGAAGCAAATATAGCAGCCACGAAAATGTTACATGGTGAGTGTCTGCAGGAAACAGCCCGGAAGCCAGAAAGGCTGCACTGGAGAGTGGTGAGGAACAGAGCAGCGGGAGGTATTGCTGAGCTCTGGAGGATGACAACCACCATTACACATGAAGAACTTGGATAAGGGAAGGCAGGAGCTTTTGTGTGTATGTGTTCAACACACCTCATACAATAAAGTCCAGGACATATCAAAAGCTGGCATTTACTGCACTCTGCCAAGGGCCCATTATCTGTAATGTTCACAATAACCACAACAGGGGAAGTGTTGTGAACCTGAGAGCACACATAAAGGAAGGTGAAGCTGAATGGCTTGCCCAAGGTCAGTCAGGCAGTGAGCCCTGCAGAGAGAGGAAGAGGTGTTTCTGATTGAAAACCTGGAGCCACGTAGCAGAAATGGCAGTTCAAAGACAGCCTTGAGAAATGCCAAAGCTTTTGGGGGCCTGAAATAAGATGTTCACTTATTTCAGTAGTGAAATAAAAAAGGGCACAACCCACAGCTTAAAAGCTAGAGGTACAAAACTGACAAAGAACCTACTGCTCAGACATGCTCAGCTGGACACAGACTGTCAGAAACGCAAGATAGGAACGAGAAGTGGAAATCGCTGCTATGACAAACGGGGTGGCTTAAAACCACAGACATCTTAAAACCTGCTGTTTCTGGGGGCAGTGGTGAACAGTGAAACTTTTTTCCTAGGGGAAAGTCCTTCCTTACCTCCTCCAGCTTCAGCAGCCTCTAGAAGTTCCTCGTCTTGTGTCTGCATAACTCCAGTCTCTGCTCCATCTCCATGTGGCTTGCTTTTCTCTCTGTGTCTGCATCTTCTCCTCTGTCCCATACAAGGATATGTATCATTATATGTGGAGACCACCCAAGATGATAGAGAATCCATTCATCCTGAGACCCTTAACTTCACTCCTTTTGGGTTGTTTTGTTTGAGCATATTTTCTACCCTCCTATTCCCACCCCCTCCCCTCCCATTAGTCTCCTCTGCTGCCCTAGGCAGCTTTTTGTCTACTTTTATGCCATATATATATATATATATACATATATATATATACAGTTCTATGCATGCATATAAAATCTAGAAATCCACAAATAAAAGCATGCAAGATTTGCTTTTCTGAGATGAGCCTGATTCACTTAATGTAATGATGTCCAGTTGTATCTATCTTCCTTTATTATGGCTGAAAAAATCCATCTTTAATATATACTAATTTTGTCTTATCCATTTCTCTGTTGTTGGACACAAAGGTTGGCTTTGTTAGACCTTTCACTTAATTCTATCTGCAAAATTCCTGCTGTGGTTTGCATCAAATGTATGTCTTGATTTTGACATGGTGTCCATATTAAACATTGCTATTAGATATGGCTATGATGGTGTTTCTAGGTGATATTAGCCTTTCAGTTAGTGGAGCAAATAAAGCAGGATTGCCTTATCTGTGGGGTCAACCCATGGGCAGAACAGCCAGGAACTGAATCGGCTCTGCACAAGCAGAGTTTCTTATCATTAGCCCTGCACCTGAATCCTTTTCCAGATTATCTAGGATAACCTCCCTTGCCTAAAGGAAACTGACTGTGAACTTTTTATCACAGCTTCAAAATATCTTCATGGAAATGACAAGATCAGTGTTTGATTGACTAACTGGAGACCATGCCTTAACAAAGGACACATAAAAGTGAGCACCACAGTTTAAGTAGCTGCAATAACTTGTTTTGTTTTTGAGATAGGGTCTTATGGTAGCTCAGGCTGACCTAGAACTCAATATGTAGCAGAGTGTAACCTTAAACTTCTGATTTCCTAACCTCTACCTCCTTAGTGCCTAGGATTCCAGACATGTGCCACCCTGCCTGGTTTATATGGTGCTGAGAATTGATCCCAGGACTTTGTGGGTGCTGGAAACACTCTCTATCAACCCAGCCACATCACCAGCTCCATGATCAAAACTTTTGAAAATGTTTGACAATATATGTTAAAGCAAGACACATATTCTCTATGAACCAGAAAGTATCCTTTTAGCTTTATACTTAATATAAATCTCAAAAAGTCATTTAAAAGAATGTTCATTATGTTAGCTATATTAATCTCAAAATGGAAGCAACCAAATTTTCCATCATCAGAAGAACAAATAAGTAAATCATAATAGGTTTATTCAATAGAGGATGAATACTTAGCAATGAAAATGAACAACTACTATATGCAACAATATGAATTAACAGCCATAGTGAGCTTTAAAAGCCATTCACAAAGAAATATTCTCTATATGATTAAACTTAAATGAAGTTCCAAAACCAGCAAAAATAATTCTATAATGTTAGAAATCAGGATAATGATTACCTTGGGGTGGGAGTTATTGACTATAGAAAGCATACCAGAGAGCCTTCTGAATGTGGTACTGTGGCAGTTTTTGATCTAAGCGGTCGGTGTACACCTCTCTCTCTCTCTCTCTCTCTCTCTCTCTCTCTCTCTCTCTCTCTCTCTCTCTCTCTCTCTCTCTCTCTCTCTCTCTCTCTCTGTGTGTGTGTGTGTGTGTAATAGAACACTTAAGACTTCTGAACTTTATATTGTTCTAACAATAAATTTAAAAATACAATTTTTAAAAGATTCAGAAAGGCACAAAGAATGAGTTGAAGCCAACAAGATGGTTTTAATGTCCAATAGCCTTAGAGCAGAGCCCGAGCAAGACCTGATTTGGCAGCATGGAGGCCGACTTGGGGGCTTTAGTCAACCACAAGTTTTGTGTGAGTCAGCCATAGCCATGGCAGTGACAGGCGCTCGTGTAATGCAAGCTGCTTTTGCAGAGGCAAAGTCGCTGTTACATTTCATCTTGTTGGCTCTAGCCCATCATTCTAAAATCTCGTCCAATCTTGATTGTGTCGTGTAGGACAGAACAGCCTTGTAGAAAGAACTAGGAAGATAAAATAAAATCTTGGAACCGTCTTTATCATGAAGACAGTAATTTTTAATGCTGAACAAGAGTTCAACAAGTTGTTTGCTTTCAAACTAGATTTAGATTTAGAGGCTAGACACAACACTTTCCAAAAGTTGTTGACAAATTTAAGAGGATCTTGGGGCCAAGAGTTAAGATGGTAATGAGAAAATTAACCCAGCCATATATGGAGAAGCTTGAGACCAAAGAGAGGGGGTGGAAGGACATGGAATGTGTTTTATTTGGAATATTAGAAAGGCTAGTTTATGGAAGGGGACATATTTATTCACTCCTGAGAACAGAGCTACACCCACAGGTCAGTGTGATGTTAAGGCCAACTGGGGTGATATATTAAGAAACAAAATAGGCTTGGTGATGCAGGCTTATAATCTTACTACTAGGGAGACTGAGGCAAAAAGATTGCAAGTTTAGAGACCTGGATGGACTACAGAGTGGGTTTAAAGGCAGCCTGGGCAACTCAGTGAGACCCTGTGTAAAATGAAAAAAGAATGGGCTGAACAGTAGAGCAGCTGTCTAGCATGTGCAGGCCATATATTCAATCCTCAGAACAGGAAAAAAGGAAGGGGAGGAAGGAAGAAAAGAAGGGAGGGAGAAACAGAGGGAGAGACAGGGAGTCCAAATGGCCAAGGTCCTGCAAAAAAAAAAAAAAAGAGTTGGGCCCCCATGGGAAGAGTTTAAGCAGCTGCTGGACAGCCACAGAGTAGGAAGTGCTCTAAGAACCCTTGCTGGACAGTGCCTCTCTCAGATGACAAGTGCTCAAGAATGGCACCGAGGAGACAATGGGACCTAGAGGACAAGATGCAACTATGCTAAGGCCAATTGTGGCAGCCTTTATATTAAAGCTCACGCCTTTAATATCAGCACTCAGGAGGCAGAGACAGGGCTACCCAGTAAGACCCTGCCTCCAAAACCAAATGCTAAGATTTCTGTCCTATGACTGCTATTCGCGTGCTCTTAAATGCGGTCGGTGGGCATGTTTGTAAAACATTCTATACTGGGAATGTGCATCACTTGTGCGCTTGGTGCCCAAAAAGGCCAGAGGGGAGTGCTGGATCTCTGAGAACTGGAGTTAGAGATGATTGTGAGCCACCACCTGGATGCTGGGAATTAAAAATCCAAGTCCCCTAGAAGAGCACTCAGCATCCTTATCCACTGAGATCTCTCTCCAGCCCCAGAAAAGCATTTTCTCTCTTTTTCTTTCTTTCTTTTTTTTTTTTTTTGATGGAGTGTTATCTTTTTTTTAAGACAGTGTCTCTCTGTGTATCCCTGACTGACCTGGAACTCACTATATAGACCAGGCCAGCCTTGAACTCACAGATCTTTTTGACTCTGCTTCCTGAGAGCTGAGATTAAAGATACATGCCACCATGCCTGGCCAGAAAAGTCTTTTTTAAAAGCATCCTTTCAAGCATGGTCTTCTGGTTATTCCAACACTGAAGTCCAGCTACATGGGGGGAAAAAACCCATGGCAAATCATGATACTCAGAAAAGTCTGTGACTTTAATGATGTCTAACTTAGAAATGACATCAAATCAAAACAATGATGCAAGCATGTTTTGTTCAAACTGACCCTGTCCCAAATGACATGCTTGTTTTGTTCTGAGGCTACAAGCCTGTCACTACTATCTACAACTATGAAGTAGAAAAGGTCATTCAATACCTTCTCTTACTAAAGAAGAACAAGACTAGAAGCAGACATATTGCATTTGCTGAAATAACAGCAAGAAGCTGTCCAAGCACAGCCTCCAGTTTGCTGCCAGGCAGCAGAAAGGTAATTTCAGTGATGCTATGACATGACAAATTGTCTTTGCTGCACACAATTTCCACTCTAGAAAAGAATTCCTCTCCTCCTCCCATCACATGGTTCTTTTCCACTGATTCGTGCGTCAGTTCCCTTATCACTGGAGCCTGAATGGGCCTGTGGGTCCTGTGTGGATGAGGCACCAACTAGCAAAGAAATAAGCATCACTTGCTTTTCGGTAGCCTGGAAATTTGGAATGTCGTTGTTTGTACCCCCTATGTGTGCTTGAGTTAAGAGTCCAGAGACGGCATTAGAGTAATCGTGTTGTGGCAAAGGCCACTGTGAAGGGAGACAAGAGCTGCTATACTGTGACTCCAGTGCAAGTGTGATTTCGATATTTTCATATACTATATTTGCATCTTGTCCTCTAGGTCCCATCGTCGTCTCCTCGGTGCCATTCTTGAGCACTTGTCATCTGAGAGAGGCACTGTCCAGCAAGGTTCCTTAGAGCACTTCCTACTCTGTGGCTGTCCAGCAGCTGCTTAAACTCTTCCTGTGGGGGCCCAGCTCTTTTTTTTTTTTCAGGACCTTGGCCATTTGGACTCCCTGTCTCTCTCTCTGTTTCTCCCTCCCTTATTTTCTTCCTTCCTCCCCTTCCATTTTTTTCTGGTACTTACCAGATGTGTGAGCATAGAACCGGTGAGTCTTCACTCACTGGCCACCAAGCCTGGTGACCTGAGGTTGACCCCCAGGACCCGCACAGTGGGGAGAGAGAACTGCTTCCGACTGGCTGTCTCCAGGCCTCCACACCTGCTCACCCACCACATCGATGAATAAATAAATGTAACAGATATGTGAACTTGGGTGCGGTTCTCTCATCTGGGAGGATGGATAATAACATGCCTTTGTAGAGCTGTCCTAAAAACTAAGATCTATCACGTGAAGTGTCCACTCACCCAGTTTGTGCTTGGAATTCCAGTTCCATCACTTAACTAAAATTTCTTGAGTGCCCCTTTTTTGCCAAAAGGAAAAAAAGTCATGGAATAAGAGTCAACAAGAGCCCTTTACTGCTCTATCCTAAATCTACTGATGAGAAACAAAATTGATAAGCCAAAAAAAAAAATAGGTAATTTGTCA